CCTAGTTTCAGTTTCGATGGTGCCCAATATCTCAATGACACATTTGATCCTTTTGATTTGATTATTTGTTAATTTATTTAGTGTCTACGTGGGGAAGAATTATCATTGTGGTTTTTCGACAACACACCGAGATGTTGTTTGCAGCAACGTTTGCAATGCTTTTTTTTAAATGTTGGATGGTAAAATGGTGTTTCATGAACTAATTAAGGGTCTGTTTGGGCTAGCTACAGTTGTCTGAAAAGCAATTGTGGCAATATGTCTATTTGGAAGATGCATTGATAAATTTGTTGTGCTGCAATTGTTTTTAAAAAAAATGTCTAAAATGTCATTCTATATATGTAATGACAAAAATTGGAAGAGAATTTCCCATGACTACCTCTTTAATAACTCAATTTGTATTATTATATAAAAAAGTTAAATTTTTATTTTATGCTTTATGAATAAAGGATTACAAACAATATCACATAATATTTAATATTTTTTTGTATTCCATAAAATTACACCATTCATAAAGTATTGAAGCACAAAGTCATCAACAAAATAATTTCTCAATTAAAAGTACTGTCACTTTTACGAATAAAATTTCAACCACAATCATAACTTTAATTTGATAAAGTTTATTTTGATATAATCATTACTCCTAAAAAAAAATTCCAGCGAAAGCTCTGGTTATACGTTTAAACTGAAATATGTTAAATGCATATAACCAATCTAACAAAATAAATATAAAAAAGCTGTAATTGAAAGTACGAAGTATAGGACATTTAAATTTAATAAAAATTGAATGTCTAAGGTATAAAATATACATAACCATATCACAGAAGTCACTCATTGATGTTTCACTCATCAACTGAAGCATTTGTAATATGTTATCTTAGTTGAACCATAATATTAATGTCTTAACTGTTCTGAGTCTGTTGGAACATTTTTTATGTCTATTACAATATGTTCTCTTAGCTGAACATTTTTTATGTCTATTATTGGATGAGCAACCCTATATTTATAATTTTCATGTGAATCATATGTGTGATTTGTCTCTAAACTATTAAACTCAATGTTTAATTTCGAAAAATAACGCCTTATTTAATTATGTAGTGTCGTTGTCATTGTCACTATTGACTTGTTTGTTAAATGAATTGCTAGGTTTGCCCCTTAAAATAACTCATTTTTCTTTGAAATATCAAAAATACTTTCAATAATATCATGTAATGAATTGTGTTGCTTATGAAATATTTATTTTCTTCACGAACTACTTGACTACTTTCAAAGTCTCGGAGGTTGCATTTTATTTCAGTATATGACTTAGAAAGTCTCACTGCATCAGGTACCCGACATCCATGATAGTGCTTCTTGGTGGATTATACAGAATATTTACATATAAATTATTTATAAAGAGATATCTATTATATGTGCAATTATGGAGTACTAGAGGTGTTCTTGAAAAATTATATTATTGGGAACATGTTGCAAATTTGAGGATGCAATTATCATGCACATTTCCTTTCCATTTGGTCATGGCAAATGTGAAACACTTGTGAAAGTCCCAAATCACCATAATGTACTGTTTCTGTGAATTACAGCTTCCAATATAAGCCACATTCTCAGTTTAAGGAACACAGACATTCACATGTGTTTCATCAATTATGCCAATGTAGTCTTATATTATATATTATTTTGTTAAGCGTATTCAAACTGCTAAAAATATTATTATTTCATGTGTATGAATCTATCTTGAAGTAGGACATATAAAGATAATCATATGATATCTCAATAAGTGTTTTCAAAAATGTAGAATCTAGGGGGTTCACAACAGTAGATGTCAAGCTAATCTACTAATTGTTTCAGAAGAATGTTGAAAGCATTCACATGTTACTCTTGTGGACTCATTGTGTGATAATATATCTAGTGTTATCCCTGACACTTCCCTTTTTGTTGCTCTTGAGGAACCCTAAAGACCGTGATAGGTCTGCAAATTTTGTAGAAGATCAAAAGGTTGCTTGTGACATACAAAACATACTATGAAATCTCCTAGTGTTTCTTGTGAGCAGCTCCCAGTCCATTTATGTCCAATACATGTTTTCATTGAAGGATTTTTACAAATATATGTTTCATAGTACTCATTAATTAAGCATACAACAGTGATCATAGCCTTCTTGGAAAGCTCTTGTTTGTTGTTAGACATAACTGTAGCAACACAAATAAAAATTTATCAAACAACACTTACAAGAGCAACATCAACTGAAAATATAAGAAATCATATAGGATAAAACATTAGTCTAAATTGCAGAAATAAAAAATAATATGAAAGAATTTAAACATAATATAGAGAAATTCATAAAACAATACATAGAATCCTGGCCAAAAATAAATACAAATGTTCGATAATCACAAATCACTCTAAATTATTAACCCTTAACGTATTGCATATATTCATCTTTCACAGCTTTCATAGAAAAATTTAATGTAATAAATATTTTGTTCAACTGCAAGTGACATGAGTAGCATCATCGAGCAACTTAGTGGAGTATAAATGTAGTAGCACGCCGTCATAAACTTTAGGTATCCTTTCAAGCATTCTGATGATGTCAAAAATGGAAAGAGATTCTTGTGATGAACTTGATCTAAAAGACCTATTTGAGAACGTTTTAACTAGTTGAGAAATTTGATTCCTTAGAAAAAAAATGCTTCTCGTCTTCTTTCTCCCCTGCACTGGTTCAATAGAATATTGGTGTTTTGTATGACTGGATAATGTGCGCTCATTTTTGTTCTGATATGAACCTTTCTCAGGGTTATTTGAACTTTTGTTCTATTCAGATACTTCATGGGTACTTAAATTAATAGGGGCTTCTTGACGAGGAGCTCTTGCCGGGCATCAACCAGCCCCATAAAACAACATGTCAAAATTTCTCTCAATTTCAGGATCAATGCCATAAAGTTTGAATTTTTTTTTTTGCATTTGGGACGGCCTACATTTCATTGCAGTAAAAATAATATTAATATTGATCTACACATACTAAGCAAGTGACTGAATAATTAAAAAAAAATACCATTTATTTGAAGTATTGATAGTTTTTTTTATATGATCTCAACCTAGTCCGGTTGATCTATGTTTCAGTTTCTTCGATAGCTTCCAATCTTTTTTTTAGTTTATCCCATTTATTTTTTTGTTTACATTTGTTATATTATCTTCTAATTTTCTCACAAAAATTATGTATTATATTCTAGCAATCCTTTTTATTGAAATGTGTTGTAGGTCGTTTATCTAATTCAACTTCTTTCAGACAAATATCACAAAAAATCTACTTAACAATTCTCTCATGTAGCAGGTAAATTGCTTTATTTTGATATTTCCATTGCAACTCACTAGTGGGAAAATATTACATAAAAAACGTGAGAAAAGAAAAGTAAAAGATTACAATAGAAGCCTATCTTTCATTCATAAAACTGAAAAAAGAGGAAGTTTAATAGGTCAATATGAAGAGATAATTATTCTGCCATGAGAACATGACAGAGCATCCATAAAAAATGGGATTTTGGTTGCATTTGAACAGTTTAGAAAAAAAACTCATATATATCAAAAAGAACAACATCATAAAGTCCTTGCAAAAGAACCTCAATGTAAAATGACTCGTTATAATCCTTCAAAGAATTCCAGTCATTGAATAATACGACATTCATCCAATTGAAAAAGAATGACAAGCTACCATAATACATTAATGCAGAACATCTATGGGCATAAAATAAAAACTAAATATATGTTTGGCAGGCTGACACCAAGCCCCCCCAAATAATTTGAAGACTTATTTTGGGTGCAAACCTAAAAGGGCAATTTAGTAATTTATTATTTATTATTTATTATTGTAGGATACAAGGGCTAATATGTTTAGGGTTAAGGTTATGCTATGAGATTGTTGTCTGAAGTCTTAGGGTTAGGTTTTGGGAGAGATCGCTTGCCTTTCGAATTGTAGGTGTTAGGGTTAGGGTTTTGGAGAGATCCTTACCTTTCGAATTATAGATGCTTGTTGCTTGGTGTTATTGAAATAAAATATTTGGTTGCCCGAATTTCTATGAATATTCGTCTCCATTCGTACCATATTGGTATCAGAGTAATAATCCTTCTTCACCATTGAGGCATCCTCCCCAACTCCATTGCGTCGCCTTTGAAACGAACTTTGTGATCCAAGTAGCTTAAAAATGAAGGGATTGAGATGCAATCCAGAACGACGGGATCGCGACCCTAAACCCTCTATTTTTTTGTTGATATTATTCCAAGGATAATTTTGGATCATGGAAGCGGAACTCATGTATTATGTGATCTCGTCATTGGCATTTTAGCTATCCCAAATCGCGACTGTATCGAGAGGTTTGATCGCTGGATGTGTTGTATGTTGTGATCCCGTCGCTGGCTTCCTAGCCAACTCATATGATGATTTTTTTGCATGTTTCAGTCACCAATGCGACGACCTATCCATTGTGATCCCATTGTTGTTTCCTGATTAGTCAATTTGTTAATGATGATTTGCATTATTCCTTACCAATAAATTTATGCCATGAGATTATCGGTTATCGGTCCATGTAGATATATCATAATTATGGGTTTGTCTGTTTGTAATTACATCAACATTTCACTTTGAGTAGTATCATTTTGGATGCATTAGTATCTTAGAATTTGCATTTTTTTGTTCTTATTTCATTATCATAATAACGGCATGTTATTGCTCTCGATTTTGTCTGAATTTGCTGGAGTTAAAATTCTTATTTGAGGGATTGAGTTAATTTATGCAGATTTACTCTATTATTTTATTATCATTGAGTTTATAATTCTTGTATTTGTGGTTTACATTTCAAAAAAAAAATCCTAGTTAAACTATCTAGTGGTTTGCTTTATATAATAAATACATTAAAAAACGTAACCCTTAACCGTCCTGCATCATTATACTCCTAAAATCGAATAATGGATTTGACAATCTATATTATATCATCTTATCTTGTTCTTGCAGGCATATTATTAACCGCATTTTGAACCTGCATGCGCCAGGTGGATTTACTTTTTTCTTTAATATATTTATATTTTGGGGCATTTACATACGTAGCACACAATTCTCATGTATTTACATATCTCACTTCTAAGCATTTACACACATAGCATTCAAATGTTTAATATTTGCATAAAAAATTAACTATTACTAATTTTTAAAAGTGAAATACACATTTTCATTCATAGATTTAAAGCACCAAAATGATATGTATATAAATATAAAAGTTTAGGTGTGAGATATGTAAATAAATAAGAATTGTGTGCTACGTATGTAAATTTTATTTATATTTTTATGCCAGTATCGTTAACAGATCACTGATGGAAAATGACAAGAATTTTCTTCATGTTTGTTGTTCTGTTATTTTAGAATGGTCTGGAGAGATTCGAAACATTGTTTATTCGGCTGATGGGAAAGCTGTAACGGTCATTTATAGAGTCACTCTTTATGGAACTGATGCTGAGGTAAGCTTTTATTCCAGACTATAACTAAGTTTGGGCACTTTAAACTATTGCATGACTCATCTTTGAATCTTTAATGCATGAATATTTTATTAGTTAGTTATGGGTATTATCAATAAATATTATAAAGAAGCCTTCTATTTCATGACTAACTCTATAGAAGATGTCAATATAGATTTCATGGTTCTTGTGCACAGTTATCTATTTATTGGTCCATCAGAAAATTTATTTTGCTAATTTTTTATGACACATTTATTATTGGTGCTGTGTAATTATGGTTGGAATCGGTGGTTTATTTTTTGGAGTTAATATTTGGTGGCCTTTACGCTCATAATAAATAGGCAATCACAGACCATTGCCTAAAGCTCCTTATGCTTTCAATTTTTTTTTTTTTTGGAATTATTTTGAAGCATTTTAACTCCTATTATGTGGTGATTTGTTGACTCAATTTATGCATTTATGATTTGACAATAATGCAAGTGAATATAATTCTAGTTTTGGATATCCACTTAAATTGAACTTCATTTAATTTTCAAGAATAAAGGTCTTCTAACTGTAATTCTCATCTTATTTTTTAAACATCATTAACTTTTAGAAGAAACATTAGTAATGCATAGGTAAGATAATGGATGTTGCAGAATTTTTTCTTATAATGTTCTCTGCATTATTATAATGAATGAGTCGCGATCAAGTTCGTGCTTGGAATGAAACAAGGCGGGAGCAGACAATCAGGCAGTGGAGTTTAATTTTTTTCTAAATTCATTTTTTTAACTACCATTTAACAAATGAAAGAGTCATTACATAAGAAAATTAAATTAGAGTGATTATAAATCTACTTTAGGTTAGGATGTTCGTGTCTTCTATAAACCTTTCATCTTCTATTACTCATCTTTTAGTTAATTAATTAAACCTGAAATTTTAGTTTAAAACAACAGTGAACTAATTTTAACCAGTGAATACTCATACTCCTAAACTATAGTAAAACTATGAAATGAGAGATAATATGCTTGTCGGTTAAATTTTATATAAATTAATCTAAGAGCATCTAAAGGTTTTTAGTGTTTAATATGATCATTCAATGTGATTCTAAACGTTCTCCATGTCTTATTATATTATTTACATATCAACATTTTTTTAATATGTATACAATCGTCTAAACTTGTACCAATGAAGGTACATCACTATCAATATCATTTTTCATTATATGTACGGGTATCTTAGCGTTCTCACACTAGTACCATAAAAGTGTGAATTTCATGATAGCCAAGCATGCACATGCAAGCATGCTATGAAAATTATTATGTAATAATGATTATTTTATTCTTATTTGCATAACAGTCAATATATTTGTATAACAGTCAATATTTTATGATAATTTAAATAATGTTGACTAGATATATCGTTCCTACAATATGAATAAAATTAAATAGAATCATAAATTATGAGCTTGCTATGATTTCAATATAATTAGTGACACATTTGGTCTAGAATAAACAAAAGTATTACTATAGCATAAGAACATGAGTACTCACTTTGATTTTACCTTAAGATATGATCCATTTCAAATCCTTTAACTTTTTTGTTTCACATTTTTACTTTTCTCAACTGGTTATATTTTATAATATTCTAACATTAATATGTACAAATTTATAATTATATTGTCTATAAGTGATTATCAAAATAAATACGGATCTTACCTCTTTTGCTTCTTTTGCATGATCCATTCTCGATCTTATTAGTCCTTTAATTCAATTTATTGTTCGAACTAATTTGCAGAAATTAATTCATAAATTAATACATATTAATAACATTTTGATTAAAATAATTCAAATAATTAAAGCATAAAATCCATAAAACCCTACCTTAACATTCATTATATGGCTTGATTTGCCTTTTTCTAGTCTGAACTTGCACCATGAACCTTCTTGCAAGTCCTCCTGACATTAATTAATATAATAAATTTCAATTAGAAAAATTATAATTTTTATTCCCTAAAGTTTAGTATAACCTAATACCATCAAATTTATTAAACAAATATCTTATGTAAAATAAAACATAACTCTAACTTTATTGTTTTGGTTCGGTCTTCATTTAACCCACACGAAACTCCGGTGATACCATAGCCTCCTCCTCTTCTCCTTCGTACAGGATGTAAAGGAAGCCCTCCTTCCTTTCTTCATTCATATCTTCCTTTTACTGTAGGTAACATCAAACATAGTCAAGTCGCTCACAAGACTCCTCATGCGCAAGCGACTCTTCTTCCCTTCGAACCCCTTGTGCGAGATTGTCCAAGCAGCAAGTCGACGATCTCACTAATGTTTATTGACCTTACTTTCGGTCAACCTTTCGTTCGAATTCAAAACCAACTCACAACCAATCTGAAAGCTGCTCACATTGAGCTAGGAATGACTAGTTTGTGGTTCATTTTAGCATTGATTAAGGAACTCGGTTTTCATGGGGTGGGGCCTATACTTTGGCCTCAACTAACTCACCTTGGAAACACTGTAGCCAAGATCAACATGGCCTTTGAAATTTTTGAGTTTTCTAAGTTCAATTTAGGTTGCCTTGGATCGTGTGTGCCCACCCTTTGCGAATGTGGGAACTTTCATGAGCACACACACACCCACATGTGTGCACTCAAGTTCGCGCTCCCATGTTTGCGCGGGTGCAGGCGTGCATGCCTGTGCTCCCACTACCCCTGAACCGGCATGGACACCCCTGGTTCGGGCATAGCAACACTCAATTGTTTCTGGGCATGGTCACGCCTGACACTGGCATGACCACGCCCCCGAGCCATGTTAGTGATCCATGGTCTTCTTCCTCGGATTAGGCAGTGAATTGACATGTCTTTTCATCGCCAATGATCCGTGGGAGCTCCAACCACCGGGGGAATCGCAATCGTCGATCCTTATCTTAATCGACGGTTGTCGAAGTCGATCCGTGGGTGGCAACGGCTCCGCCACCGCCTTTGTCGCCTATAAATAAGCCCTCGCGGCTCCCCCTTCGACAATTCTACACGCACAAAAAAGAGTTAGGTTGCCTCCTCTTCTATCCATGAACCACCATGGCTCCTCCGATAAGCCTCCTCTTTTATATTGTGCTTAGTATTTTTTTTAAAACTTAATTTAAGTACAAGTAAATCAAATTCTTGGATTAAACTTGGATTTGGGTTTCACTTAGGTCTACTCGAACAAAGCCTAAACTTGACCCTAATCCTAACCCAACCCGATTCAAACTGTAACCCAGGTCCAACATAGGTCCAACCCAGGTCAAACCCATGGTTAACCCAGGATCAACTCACGTCCAACAAAGATCTTAACCCAGGCCAACCCTAGTCCAATCCACGTCCAACCTAGGTCAATCCAGATCCAACCCAAGCCAAACCCAGACCCAACTAGGTCCATCCTAGATCAAACTCATGTCAACCTAGGTCTAGCTCAGGTCATAGCCAATTGGAACCCAATCGAATCATACCGAACCAAGCTCGATTTTGAGCTGAATTCAGTTGAACCCTAGTTAACCTTAACTCACCCCCAACCCAAGTCAAATCCAAGCTAAACTCTAAGTTATGTTTCTATGTGTAGTACTCAATGTGTAATGCATTAAAAGTCATGTTCCATTCATGTTTTATATTTTTCACATACCATGTTTAGTTTCTTCTATGTTAAAAATAAACAAAAACAAAAAAAAATGATAAAAGAAAAAGGATGAGAACCTCTCACATGTTTTTTCTCCCCATAAACATTTAATAAGGCACCCAAAAGTTATGGACAAAACCAAACAGAGAACAACAACAAAGAAAAACAATTACAAAACTTTAAGCCAAGAGAATCTCGATTTTTATCTCAACAAATAGATCTATGAACTAAAACAAATCACGAATTAAATATCGAACTCTAAATAACATCTAAAACACACTAAGATAAAGAACGAAAACTAAATCTATGCAGATTTGACACGAACTCTAAGTTAGCCAATTTAGACACAAGAACTGAGGATCATACATATATCCTAGGTTATTCCAAGTATAACAACCTAGGTTAGTCTAATAGACACTCTAGTTAGTGCTAAGGACTGGGACATATAAAACAAACAGTCTTGCCTCCTGAAACAGAAGGAATGCTCTATTATGAAGTAAACCATGGTTACCGACAAAGGCATTTCAACCCGCCTTCAAACTAAGAAACTCTCTACATGCCTTGGTCATGAGTTTAAGGACGGTCGTTGGTTATAAGTTGGTTACAGTTGAATGATGCCAACATATCCGGGACGAACGAAAGCCACGAGCATTTTGAAAGTCTAGGTTTTTTCACCTATTAGGATTCCTTTTAGAGTCTAGGACCTCACCTCCACCTAGAAATCCTTCATATCGACAACTTCAGATCAAATCAAACTAATCATTCTTGATCTCCTTTTGATCACATCCGATCAATCAAAACTCGCTACCAGTCTTTTTGAAAATCTTCAACCACCAACTAAATTCAATCCTTTCGGTAAAAATTTCTTCATGTATGGTTAAATCTCTTTGTCTGGGTCGTTTCATGACACACTATCATTGGATTGTAAGTCTCATTATTTTGAGCTTAATTCTTCCAAAATGCTAGCTTGGATCCTTCCTTCATTTTCGAAACCTCAACTTTCAAAGTCCATCCTTCTAATCCGAATAGGATAAGTCATTATATTATTCAAGAGGTTTTTTTAGGGCTCACGACTCTAGAGATATAATTAACTATGAGGGCTTGCTCTTATAGAGAATCTAACCCTATTATAAAATAAACCTTATCTTACACCCATAAAATAAGGTAAAAAACCCTGATTCCTAGACTTATGAAGATTTTCATCATCCAAATGATTAGTCTCATTTCAAGGTAATACTTTCTCCCCTTGGGAGGTATCTTATTCTTTAAATCTTGTCTTTGATCATTTAGATAAAAGTTATCTAAATGGTTTATGGTGTGTGGAGAGAAAAATCATCCACCAGTGTTGCCTTCCTCTTACACACT